AAGGAAAAAACAAAGGAGTAATGAATTAATCAACATCATTCTCTTGCTTGATCAAGAAATTCGAGTTTTCTTTACTCTTTCAAACTCTTGATCTATTTAAATGTCACTACCAATATTCAGCTTTCGTTTTATTTCATATTATTCAGCGTTTACAAGTAACAAGTACAAGAACAAATGAAATAATCGATGACGACGCACAGCAATGACGGTTTCGTTGTGTCGGGTGAGAGCGCATTATAGAAAACAAAAGGGTCAACTTTTAGATTCCTACATCTAACATGTTACTTGTATCGGTTAAGATTTTAATAGATTTGGTACAAGTTGAGTCTTGATGAGCTTCTACAGTCTTGATGAACTTGTACTTGTTCCTTGTAAACGCTGAATAATATGAATCGCTGGTCTTCGATCTCTTTCAACTAGGTACAAGTTGAGTCTTGATGAGCTTCTATAGTTCTATTGAAGTAAGGACGATCATTTTTCTTTCATAGCTTTACATAGATAATTTTCTTAGCTTTACTCGTTTTCTGAATCTTCTCAAACCTTCGTCCAAAGTGTGCTTTCAAGCTTCTTTACAACATTGTACAAAATGAAAACATTTTTTTAAACTTTACCTCACTAACAACCAAAAGGAGCGACCCTTTTAGACCAGTATAGAATTCATTTTTTCATTAACGATAATAGAATTCGGCTTTAGAGCCTTTTTAAGAGCTAATCGCTGGTCTTCGATCTCTTTCAATTAGGGTTGCATGGAAGAGTGGGAGACTCAGTCCTTGTTTCGCTTTTGTCTCAAAAAAAAGGCAACTCCTAGACCCATCCTCCATCGAAGAACCTCCAACTTTGTCTCTTTCTCTAGCCAAAAAGTGAGTAGGGATGAGAAGCGAGCAAAAAAAAAGCCGATTGCCGAGAGAGGTCCTAAAAATCCGGGCACTCTCACATACACACACACACGCATAGAGTCCTACTCCGCTCCCCAATCCAACTAGGCCCATGTGACCCTCTCTTCTGCTCTCTTACCCACCTTTCCCGATAAGGTTCAATAAGCAGAGTGCTTACCTATTCACCCCCCATGTTTTTATAGATTTCCTCCAGCTTTCCCAATTCTCAAATTTTTAGGCAAAAGTGTTTTGCTATTGAGTCTTAGAGAAAAATGTTTTGCTATTTATACATCATTTAAAATTCTTCAATGCCTAACTGCAAATGAATTCAATTTACTGTTTATTTATTGATGAAAATTTATGCCAACAAAGCCTCTTCTTAAGCTCTTATCTAAAAGTTCTTCTGATTTTATTTCAATTTCAATTTCATTCATAGGTTTTTAAAGAAATTTCAAAGAAATCCAATCAGATTTTCTTGAAATTTTCTGAAAAGATAAAAGATAAATGAACGCGCACACTTTCTGGATGTTCTAATCGATTTCTAGGGCCATGTGGACCGTTTCTAGGGCCATGTGAACCGTTTCTAGAGCCCGTTCCTTTTTCTCGATCCGTTTCCACGGCGATCCGCAATTCGAAAATCCACGATTTTGCTCGTACCTTGACTGTTTGTTTTTGTTGAAACGTTGAATTTGCTCTCATTCGATAGATCAGTGATGGAGCAAGCTCCGAGCCGAAAAGTCCGATTCGCATAACCCGGGGCAAGCGATTCTAAAATGAAATTTTCTGAAAAGATAGCTATTAGTAGAAGGGCTATTATAAAAATTGAGATCGAGAATTGCTTTGCTTTTACTTTTCAAATTTCAACTCTGAAATCAGATTAGAAAAGCTGGATCAGATAAAGTGTTTTTGCGGCGAGAGATTCAGTAAACTTGAAATTTAATTTACCGTAAATACTGTAATTGGACCCCACCCCCATAATGACGGTGCGGAGTGTTGCGTAGCCGAGCTTTGAACGAGTTTTTCTCGACACTGGTTTATGCTACAATGCGCGCTTAGGTATCAAAAAATAGCTGAAATTCAGGGCTATTTTTCGATATCAACAGACGGAGCGTCGCGTAGTCTAGCTTTGAACGAGTTTTTCTCGACACTGGTTTATGCTACAATGCGCGCTTAGATATCAAAAAATAGCCTTGAATTTCAGCCATTTTTTGATACCAAAGACGCATTTTTTGAAAGTAGGGGCGCTTTGAAAAAAATGAAAAAACTTTTGCGACTACGCGACTGTACGAGGAGGGTGGGGTACTATTACAGTATTTAAGGTAAATGTTTTCTAAACCCCTTACCGGCATCCATCCCCTTCCATGGGGTCTTTCGGGTGTCATTCCCCATCTCGCATACAATCTTTTCCAATTTCAACTCTAAAATCAGATCAGAAAAGCTGTATCAGATAAAGTGTTCTTGCGGCGAGAGATTCAGTAAACTTGAAATTTAATTTATGTATTTCCTTGCTATAAACATTTTACCGTAACCAAAGCTGATTTCAAGCCAAAATCTAGTCTTTATTAGGTTCTTATTGGTGCTTTTTTAAACGAAAAAACTAAAGTCAGATAGGGATAGACATTGTTTTCTTTCTTCAAGCAATTCCCCTCTCTATCCCATCGTTTTCCACTCCGAGATTTTATTGAATTTCCTCTTCTTTCCCATCCTTTTATTCTTCAAAAATTGAAAGAATTCTCGAAACAAATTCACGAATAGGCTTTTGAAAATCGAAAAAAAACTCATGACAACAACAATTCTTTGAAAGTTTCTCTACTTTATAGCTAAAATTTATAGCTAAACTTTGCGGTGTACTTTATGTAATTAGAAACGAAACCTTTCTGGCGTACTTACCGTAAATACTGTAATAGTACCCCACCCCCATAATGACGATGCAGAGTGTTGCGTAGTCTAGCTTTGAACGGGTTTTTCTCGACACTGGTTTATGCTACAATGTACGCTTAAGGAGCAAAAAATAGCCCTGAATTTCAGCTATTTTTTGATATCAAAAGACGGAGCATCGCGTAGCCTAGCTTTGAACGAGTTTTTCTCGACACTGGTTTATGCTACAATGCTCGCTTAGGTATCAAAAAATAGCCCTGAATCTCAGCTATTTTTTGATACCAAAGACGCATTTTTTGAAAGTACGGGCGCTTTGAAAAAAATGAAATACTAAAAAACTTTTGCGACTACGCGACTGTACGAGGGGGCTGGGGTACTATTACAGTATTTACGGTATGAAACGAAACCTTTCTGGCGTACTTAAGTTTCTATTGGAAACGATTAACGTGAAAAATATCAAGAATTCATGGAATTTTTAAGAAAAAGCTTGATAAGAAAAAGATTTTCCCACAAAAAATAACATTGAAAAGCTTTAAATACCGAACTTGTGAGGGAAATTTTTGGCTTATTCACTGGATGCTCAAAAATTCAGAATTTTCAATCTAATTTTTGCGCATTTTTTTGTCTCTAAGCACCATTTTCTCACATCGATTCTTTCACCCGTTCTTTGTCTATTTTCTTTTCTTCTAGCTTCAGGGGAAATTTGAGGAGATTTTGGCCATGCATTCCTTCATTTCTCTGGCCACACTTGCTCCTCCCCACTTCTCTTTTTTTTTTGGACGCTTTCGGATTGAGTTTCACACTTTATCCTGTTCTCTTGGCACTTTTATCTTTATTTTTTTTTTGCCAGGCTTATGAATGGTGAAATCATTTTTTCCTTAATGCTTTCTATTTTTGATCTGGAGCAAGCCCATTGGTTAGCCCCCTCCCTAGGTGGGCTCATAAACTTACCTGGCTGGGGGGTTTCTCGTGATCACCAAGACGGGACCCCCATGGTGAGACATGGTCATTGCACTTTTGACTGTGTTGACCCGTGTGGCAGCTCCGAGTTCAGGTTAACTAACAGCTAAATTTTGCGTGCTGGGCTGGGTTGGGTTCACGCGGCGCTGCCAAACAAGTCAACGATTGCAATGTTGTGTCGCAGCCCCACAAATTTATCTGTTTTAACTCCACTGTGCAACGGTTTTGTTTAAAGTGTTTATTTTCATTATCAACCAGCTCTTACTATTTTTAGTCACACATTACTTGAATTTCTTTAATGGAGACTAAAAATTCAAATCTGAGAGAAAAGGAGCCGTTCCCAGTTGAATAAAACCAAAATAAAACTAATCTTCAGATATTCTGTCCATTGCTTGAGTATCTTAAACTCCAATAAAAGGATTTAAACTTCTTTTTTTGCCCGTGGCAAGACATCCCCGATCACCCAGATGTTCTTTGTGCGCGAGCGTAATCGCTCTCGATCTGGCGCAAGCCCATTGGTTAACCCCCTCCCTCGGCGGCCTCATAAACTTACCTGGCTGGGGGTTTCTCGTGATCATCAAGACGGGACCCCCATGGTGAGACATGGTCATTGCACTTTTGACTGTGTTGACCTGTGTGGCAGCTCCGAGTTGGGGTTCGCTAACAGCTAAATTTTTGCGTGAGGGGCTGCGTTCGCGCGGCCCTGCCAATTTCAAAATTACAATATTTGGCGGGCTGGCGATCGTTGTGCAAACAGAATGTCCAGAGAAAGCAATGAGGAATGTTCCTGGATTTTAGTTCAATTTGGTATCATTTAACAAACTGAAGTTTCCTTTTAGAACTATATCAAAATTCAACATTAATATAATCTCTAAACAAAATAATTGAGTTTCAAAGCGTCGTATTTATTCAAAAGTTCCTTTTAACGGACTAGCTCTTGTCCCGAATCTTATCTCATTCGTTTTCTACTCTCATGTTGTTTTTCTTTCTTCAGAAGTCCCATTCAATTCCTTTTTTTCTTTTCCTCGTTTTCTCGCTCACTAATCACATCACGGGATTCGATGTCTTTTTTTCAAAAAACGAAAACATTCTCTTTCTTGTCACGTACTTCTCTCTATGGCCAATTTGTGGGATTTCTCCGAGATTTGCTGACTTTTTGCAAATATTTCTCTTTATTCTGAAAGTTAAAGCTCAATTTATTCAAAAATTTGCTTCAAATTTGCTCAATTCAAAAAATTTAGACTTAATCAAGCGCTTTTCGATTTCGATTGGAGAAAGCCTGTGAAAATGTCGGGCGGATCGGGTGATGGAGCCGGGAAACCGTTGATGCTCGGGGTGAACAATCCGTTTGCTGAGAACCCATCGATGATGACACTTGCACAATATCAGGACACGTGCATTCCGGGTAAATTTTAGTGCTTCTCACTCTTCTTTCTGTCTTTTTCCAGTCACTTTTCCAGTGCCAAAGGTAGACTTATGTGCTTCAGATGAGTGAAAATGAACGCGCACACTTCCTGGATGTTCTAATCGATTTCTAGGGTCATGTGAACCGTTTCTAAGGCCCGTTCCTTTTTCTCGATCCGTTTCCACGGATCGAGATCCACGAATTCGAAAATCCACGAATTTTGCTCGTACCTTGACTGGGTTTTCTTTGAAAAACGTTGAATTTGCTCTCATTCGATAGAAAATTTGATTTCAAGTCAAATGAAAGTAAGCTCAACGTTTTTTCAAATAAACCCGGCTAAGATACGAGCAAAATACGTAGATTGCCAACGGCAAACAACTGAAAGGACTGAAAAAAGGGCGGAGTTAACATGGCTGCAAACCTGGCAAGGCCATTCAGAAGCCTGGTCTAGGCCTGGCTTTCTGGGGACTCAGGAATTGTTTACTAGTGAAGCGAGAACCAGACTTCTGACCGAACTCTGGCCTTTCCTGACTTGATCTTGCCTGGAAAGCTGAAAGAAATTTTTTAGTCCTGAATGTAGGCTATTACAAATCCGTTAGAGATGCTCTCCAAACTATGGTCAGGCTAGGACCTAGCTTCTAGCCTGGTTTTAATCTTGCCCGAGCTGAGCTGGCCTAGAAAAATTGATTTTGGAACATCCTTGATTTTTAAAAAGCATAATCCAATTTGCTTGTAAACGCTTGAGCGAATTTTCAAGCAAATTTTCGAGATTTTCAAAATTTTCAAAGCTTACTGCAGAATTCTCTTTTGCTGATGCTTTTTTGAACCTTATTTACTTGAGTATTTGTTAATCAGATTGAAAGATTATAGTACTTTTTCCTTATTAACTACACTACCAATCTTTCCCCATTATTTTCATTTTCATTTTTTTTTGAAGCACCTAGCTAGTTTTAGGCATTCTCACCATGAAAGGAGAAGGTAAACGTAGAAAAAAAAAACTGTCTTTTCCAATGAAGTCTTTTCCAAAAAAATCTTTTCCAATGAAATCTCTAAAGCATGAGAAAAAATTAGAAAACAGTCAGGGGATTACTATGTAAAAATTGTTGTAAAAATCGAATTTTAGAACTCCAGTAATCCTTTGACAATGTGTGGTGAGGTTCTGATTTCGGATTTCAAAAAACAAGCCAACTTTTTTGTTCACTGATCTATCTGTATTGAGAAAATGATAGCATGGATTAAAATCGATTCCGAATTTGAATTTGAATTGAATTTGAATTTTTTGTATTCAAAAGTTTATGATGATTTTAGTGTCGATGGAGTTCGCGAAGTCGAAAATGCATTGGATAATCGCGGCTATTTTCTTGGTTGCGGATATGGTCGGCGGCGGAGTGGTGGTAATGCCCGTTGCATTCAAACAGTCAGGTAAGATAAAGAAAATTTCACTTCAAAGCTTTGAAAGATCAGATTCATCCATCTTAAAAGCCTCATTTTCAGATCATTTCTTTATATCTTTTAAACTCATATTTTCAGCTTTCCCTTTTCAAAGTTCAAAGTTCAAAGTTCAAAGTTTCAAAGTTTCAAAGTTAGTGTCAGTTCCCATCATAAAAAGTTGCCAACCGATCGACCGAGCGCCGATCGATCCTCAACCGAGCGCCTCGCCGATCGACCGAGCGCCGATCGCTCCTCAACCGAGCGCCGATCGATCCTCGCCGATCGACCGAGCGCCGATCGATCCTCGCCGATCGCTCCTCAACCGAGCGCCGATCGATCCTCGCCGATCGCTCCTCAACCGAGCGCCGATCGATCCTCGCCGATCGCTCCTCAACCGAGCGCCGATCGATCCTCGCCGATCGACCGAGCGCCGATCGACCGCCGACGCTCCTCAACCGAGCGCCGACGACCTCGCCGACGCTCCTCACCGAGCGCCGATCGATCCTCGCCGATCGCTCCTCAACCGAGCGCCGATCGATCCTCGCCGATCGACCGAGCGCCGACGACCTCGCCGACGCCCCAACCGAGCGCCGATCGATCCTCGCCGATCGCTCCTCAACCGAGCGCCGATCGATCCTCGCCGATCGACCGAGCGCCGATCGCCGATCGATCCTCGCCGATCGCTCCTCAACCGAGCGCCGATCGATCCTCGCCGATCGACCGAGTGCCGATCGCTCCTCAACCGAGCGCCGATCGACCGAGCGCCGATCGATCCTCGCCGATCACTCCTCAACCGAGCGCCGATCGATCCTCGCCGATCGACCGAGCGCCGATCGATCCTCGCCAATCGATCCTCGCCAATTTTTCCTACTCGTCTTTGCGCTTCCGCAAAAATCTCCAAAAAACGAAAGCTTTTCTAAATTGCTAGCAATGATTTTGCAGCGGAGATCTAGAGAATCAAAATCAAAAGCAGATATTCAAAATCAAAAGCATCAAATAAGATCTTTCCAAACCGTATTTCATTTTGTGCATTCAACATTTGTAAAACCAATTTTTAAGTTAAAAAAGTCCATTTATTTAGTTGACAACTGACAACCTAGCTGACAGTCTGTAAGCGTTAATATTAATCTAGCTGTAAGCGTCTAGACTACTGATTCTATTGACTAGAAAGTTCAAGATTCTTTTTTAAGATCTTTGTACTTATTCAGGGATGATGATGGGCTGTTTGTTTATGGTGGTGATTTGTGTGATCTTCGAGTACACGGGATGGGAGCTGGGACAAGTCTGGGTGATTATGCAAGAAAGGTTTGTCCAGAGTTAAGAAAGTTTACAAAAAAACTCATTGATATTGTTTTTATGATCGAGTAATACCACGTTGAAGTATCTGTGCAATGCGTGAGGGGGTACCGATGGGGCAATGATTATTAGATATTAGATATTAGATATTAGATATTAGATATTAGATCTTAGATCTTAGATCTTAGATATTAGATATTAGATATTAGATATTAGATATTAGATATTAGATATTAGATATTAGATATTAGATATTAGATATTAGATATTTATTCGGAATATAGCACAATCACTAATCTAGCGAGAAAATACAATAAAATATAATCAGTCGTTGGTTCAGTGTTTCAAAGCCAAAGGAAAAGCGATATAAAAAGTGGCCTCCGTCCATTTTTCTTCACACAAAACGATCTTTAGATCTTTATCTTTCGAGGAAGGGCAAGAGGATCAGAGATATTCAGAGATAAAATCAAAACATCAAATAAGATTTCACAGAAAATAGCTACTTTTCTGCAAAACGCCCTTTCTGGTCTAGCAAGAAAATTTAATAAATAGAATCAATCGTTGGTTCAGTGTTTCACTGAACCAAGGAAACCCGTTCCCCGAGGTGGCCAAAAAGAGCATAGGAAAAATGGCACAGTGAGTGAAACACTGAACCAACGAAACAAAGCCAAATAAAACAAAGCCAAAGGAAAAGCTATATAAAAAGTGGCCTCCGTCCCTTTTTCTTTAGATCTTTAGAGGAACAGGAAGGACAAGAGAATCAGAGATATTCAAAATCAAAAGCATCAAATAAGATTTCACAGAAAAGAGCTACTTTTCTGAACAGTATCATAAGGAATTTGCAAATTTTCGATTTTTCCGATTTTCATATGGCCACTCAACAAGCAACACTGTGACGAATAACCGTTTGTCCGGAAAACTTTAGGCCGAAAAGAGCAGGGGATTTTTCTCAAACTTTGGTTTTCACAGTGAGTACACAAAAATTTACGAAGGTTTTTGACTCAAGCATGTTTGACGTTTGTGTCACTTATTATGCTAATTTTATGTTGGTTTTACACCAAAATGTATCCACTTTCCAGACGATTGACTTCAGCGGCCATTCTAATCACTCTTTTCGGCATTTCCGTTGTTTACCTCCTCCTCTCCGCGAATATTATCCATTATTTTCTCTACGATTACTTGTATATACCGGTTTGTTGACTTAAATGAAATCTCTTATCTCGAAATTGCAGATCTCACTCTGTGGTACGATCGTTGTGCTGGCGCTTCTCATCTCACCGTTTACCCTACTAAAGAGTCCAGGGGATTTTTGGTAGGAAAAAAAAAATTGAAAATTTTCAAAGAAACTCTCTTCCAGGATCGTCGTTGTATTCGCCATGGTGACCACAGTTTTATCAGTTGCAATGATCATTTACGGAATTTTCCTTGATCACGGCGCTTGTGCTCCACAAGCGAAATATTCGGGTGGCGACTCGGGAGGCGTTCTTTTTGCAATGGGTTTGTTCTACAGTTCATTGCCTCAAAATCCTAACCCTAGCTTTTAAATCCAGTTTTAGAAGCTTCAAGTCTTAGCATCAAAACGTTTACTTGTAATTTAAGATTGGATCCCAAATCAATCGTAAATTCAGTCTCAATTTCTTTTTCAGGAACATTTCTCTTTGCTTTCTCTGGACATTATGTTTTCCCAACGATTGTAAACGACATGAGACACCCGAAAAAGTTCAGCTACTCGATCGCTTGGGGATTCCTCGGTATGTTTGAGGATTTCAGTGTATTCTAAAATATGTCAACTTTTGCGATTACTGTAATATTGCCTCTAACTTGCATCTCTATAAATCTCTATAAATCTCCAGTCTGATTCTGCTTACGAAGAATGTAGGAAAAAAAATAGTAGCATTGGATAGAGGAAGATTGTGGCCAGATCTAACATTGTAATTCTGAAATTTGATTGTACATAAGACATAAGATATACAGTACATAAGAGGCAAGCTTACTACTTCAGCTACTCGCTCGCTTGGGGGTTCCTCGGTATGTTTAAGGATTCCAGTGTATTCTAAAGCATGTCAACTTTTGCGACTACAGTAATCTTGCCTCTAGCTTGAATCTTGATACGTCCAGTCAATCAATTTCGAATTTCATCTTTGATTCATAGCTTTTGATCCTCTTTCAGAATATACCAATGAGCCGCAAAATGTGAAGAATTATTAGCAGGAAACATATTATTCGAAAAGTAACCCTCCACTGATTATTGGCAGGGCCGCGCGAACGCAGCCCCTCACGCAAAAATTTAGCTGTTAGCGAACCCCAACTCGGAGCTGCCACACAGGTCAACACAGTCAAAAGTGCAATGACCATGTCTCACCATGGGGGTCCCGTCTTGGTGATCACGAGAAACCCCCCAGCCAGGTAAGTTTATGAGGCCACCGAGGGAGGTGGTTAACCAATGGGCTTGCGCCAGATCGAGAGCGATTACGCTCGCGCACAAAGGACACCTGGGTCGTGGGAGTTGAAGGAGTTTCTTTTGGGGATTGCTCATCTGACTATAAGTTGGTTTGATTCTTAAGATTGGATACAATTTAGAGGCAAGCTTACGGTAGTTTTTAAAAGTTGAACGTGCCAAAGCACTTGAAAGTAACTCATAACTTCCCAAATTCAGTTGTCCTCTTGTTGTACATGCCCCTTTCCGTTTATGCCTATTTTGTCTACGGTGATTCGATGGAAAAAAGTGTCATTTACAGGTGAATCCAAAGAAAACTGGCAATGATTTTATTCATTTCATTTCAGTGTTCAAACGAGAGAGCTTCAATTTGGCGCGAATCTGATGATTGCAGCTCATTGCATTCTCACTCTTGTCATCGTCATCAACCCAGTCAATCAAGAAGTCGAGGAATATTTCAACATACCGCACAGTTGGTTTTTTTTTATGTTTTAATGCAGTTCTACATCAGCGTCAAGAGAAAATGAAGTTTAACCCATTCGAAACCGTAGCGTTTTTTCTTTTTTTTCGTCTGCGGACCAAGCCCTTTTTTGAGATTTTTGACTCCGAAGCAGTTTATCCAGATGGTTGGAAAGATTTAAGAGAGTTTCCTACATCATTTATTTTTGATGAATAACGATTTGCATTTGACTTCAGTACTTTTCAAGATCCTATCGATTATTATTCTTATTTTATCGACGACAAATTAATCAATATGTTAGTAGGCGAATCTAATAAACATGGAAAAAGGAAAACAAACTGGCAGGATTTCGATGCAAAATCTTTCAAGCTCTTCCTGGCTCTGTATCTTCAAATGGGAATCGTCAAATTACCGAGGATTCGTGACTACTGGAGTAGCAGGCCTGGATTAGGAGATCTTTCCCACATGTCCCACATTATGTCAAGAGCAAAATTTGAATCTATTCTTCGAAACCTGCGTTTTTGTGATAATGAACTGGATCCTGCAGGAGATTGGCTTTATAAGATTAGAGCTATTATGGAACATTTCAATGCAAAACCAGAGGCTGCATTGATTCCGGGTAAATATGACACGTCTAGATCTGTTACAATTGGAATATACATGTAATGATGAAAAACAACAAAAAAAAACCAATTAATTGAATGAAAATAGCTCAATTAGCGCTGCAGCGGTCCGTTCCTGAGTTTTTGCTGCAGCGATTATTCGCTGCAGAAGTTTCGAATGGGTTAAAGATACCGTAATCAGTCGAGACGTCTGCACAAGTTTTACCCCTATCAATTTTCTCTTACAGAGTTCGGAATCGGTCGCGTCTTGGTGCGAATGACGATCTTGTTGTTCGTACTCTTCACCGGTCTCACTATGCCCGATTTTGGGCCTGTGATGAATCTAGTGAGTTTCTTTAGCTAAACAAAATACAAAAACCCATTTCCAGGTTGGTTCTTCAACAATTCCATTGGGCTGCGTTGTGATGCCGGCTCTCTTTTATCTTTGGATCAATGCCGCAACGGAAGAACAATGGGGAAAGGGAGTAATTCCATCCATTAAACAGTAAGTTTTATCTTTTAGTCATCAGATCTAAAGAAACCAAAAAAGAAATGAAGCAATCTGAAGCAATGAAGCAGAAATGAAGTAATCTTTTTCAGAGTCTATCAGCGAACCCCGAAGATAGTCTTTTGGCTGAATATCTTTGTTATGGGTGAGTAGACAAGAAGTTTATTACAAGAAATTGAATAAGATAATAATATTCAGGTGTTGCACTTGTTGGAGGAGCCGTTGGGAGTTACAAGGCGGTAATCGCGATGATCGAGACCGAATTCTCGGCTCCATGCTATTTCCGTGGCTCCGAGTTGCTCATTTCCAAAGGGAACACGACAATCATTCATGTGATTTTATAGAAATTATAAAATCTTTTCTAAAATCACATTTTCTATACAGTATTTATATAGAAATTAGTGATGTTAAGCCTTTGCAATTCCATTGCAAAAAGACACCTATAAACTACTGGTTGACTGGCAACAGGACTTTTCATAGCTTTATTGCTAGCCTATTGTAGAAAACTACCGTAATCCAAGAGCCAGTTTCCTTTTAAATCTTGAAACTTGTATACTTTAACTTTAATTTGTCTATCAAGTTTGTAACTTGATAGATTCTGGATTGAGTGAATCCCTCAGGGTTAATGCACTTGTTAAAAGACACTTATAAACTGGTTGACTACTGGTTGACTGACAACAGGACTTTTCATAGCTTTATTGTTAGCCTATTGTAGAAAACTACCGTAATCTAACCGCCAGTTTCCATTGAATGAGCCCAATTTTGGTATCATTGATCCTCAGCGATTCTGGATTGAGTGAATCCCTCAGGGCTAATGCACTTGTTAATCATCATCATCGATCATCCTCAGCGATCCAAAATTGGGCTGATTGAATGACTAGTTTATTGGTCTTTTCGAAAACATATTAGAGAATCACATTCTAATTTTGAAATTTATTGCAGACTGATCAAAACAAAAGATACAATCCGAGGACCGGAATTTAATCTTTTCAGATGGTGCAAACGTGTTGTGGATGGGCGAAGAATATCTCTTCAAAAGGAACGCCCGATCTATGTGGAGAGATTCCATTATAGAAGGATGGCATTTGTTTTTTTTGCGGGAAACAACATTAACTCATTTGTTTGGATTAACTCGAAAGTGTCAAATTTTAGCCAAATTAGCCAAAAATTAGCCAAAAAACCCGTAACTTTACACATATTTTAATGTTTAAATATTCCCCTCGCTGTGCCATTTCCATTCACTTATCTCTTCATTCAAGTACTACGGTTTGCCTATAGAAAAGCCTAGATTTTAGATTTTGAAGTTTTTAAAGCTGGACCCGTTACTTACCCAGTGAATACTTACCCAGTACTTTCCCTTTTAAAAACCCGGTTAGCTTAAAATTGTAACTTTGTACTTTGTACTTTTCCTTTTGTTGCCTCACAGGCCTTCCAATACCGGTTTCTCATGACTTTCTTTGAATAAACATTTCTTCTGATATTTTATGCTTGTTCTTTTTCCATTTGTTTACTTGTCAAATGTGCAATAAAGTTTAGATTATTTCAATTTATGCTCTTTTTCCATCGAATCACCGTAGACAAAATAGGCATAAACGGAAAGGGGCAGTACAACAAGAGGACAACTGAATTTGGGAAGTTATGAGTTACTTTCAAGTGCTTTAACACGTTCAACTTTTAAAAACTACCGTAAGCTTGCCTCTAAATTGTATCCAATCTTAAGAATCAAACCATCTTTTAGTCAGATGAACAATCCCCAAAAGAAACTCCTTCAACTCCCACGACCCAGGTGTCCTTTGTGCGCGAGCCTAATCGCTCTCGATCTGGCGCAAGCCCATTGGTTAGCCCCCTCCCTAGGTCGCCTCCATAAACTTACCTGGCTGGGGGGTTTCTCGTGATCACCAAGACGGGACCCCCATGGTGAGACATGGTCATTGCACTTTTGACTGTGTTGACCTGTGTGGCAGCTCCGAGTTGGGGTTCGCTAACAGCTAAATTTTTGCGTGAGGGGCTGCGTTCGCGCGGCCCTCCCAATAATCAGTGGAGGGTTACTTCTCGAATAATATGTTTCTTGCTAACAATTCTTCACATTGCACGGTGCAACGAAACAGTAATAAGTTCATTTCCATCAATTCTTTTTTTTCCCTTTTCTCACAACTGAACTTTTGAACATATGGTTTTTTTGAAAGCAAAAGCCCCAACGAATCCTTTTCTCTTTTTTCAAATCCAACGCCTTTCCTCTAAAGTTTGAACGGATTTTATGAGCACAAAACTGTTCTTTGTTTTTGAATTTCATTCATTTTTTGATAAATCAATGTTTTTAAATCAATAAATCAATCAATTCAATCAATGTCCAATGTTCAATGTTTCTAACTTTTCAACAAAATGTAACTTTGATCGATTCTTGTCTCTCGAGCTTTTGTTTATCCATGAAAAGCTCGTCGATGATCCCTGAAAATATTTTGCACTTTTTTTTTGCCGTTGTTGACTCGTTGATACTTGACGGGAAATGTGTCTGGATTGAGTGAGGACGAATAAACGAAGATTGTATTCGATCCTCAACTAGCGATCTCTTTTTTTATCGACTTATTGCATCAATTGCATTATTTTTTTTGAGTTATGCTTACCCTTTTTGAATGCTTGGCTTTCCAAGAAAAAGCGCAAAAAAAAGGAAAAAGAAAATCTTTCCAAGAAAAAATATAAACTCTCTCTCAAAAACTGTTTAAGTTATGATTAAACTATTGAATCATAGAAATTACTTATTTAAAGTCATCTTGTCATTCAAACAAAGCAAGTTTTAACTCATTAACTTTTAACAAATTCTGTTAATCACTTCCGCAAACAAGGAAATCTAATAGAAATCTTTTTCTCCTTTCGAATCATTTCCCAGTTATCTCTTTGACATTTTGGTGGTAATTTCAAGAAAAAAAAGACAGATAAGCTGCCAAAGATCGGCAAAGATTTGTTGAAGATTTAAATTTCAAAACTCAAACAAATACTCGATAACAATTGGGGAGTTTCCTTCATTGAAGTCTCATTTCACGAGCGTTCAATGATCTGTGAGTGAATAGGAAAAGAAAAAAGGCCAAATCATTTCTTTTAAAAAAGAGCAAAGAAAAATGGGGGAAAAATGGGAAAAAAAATGAACCGACAAGGGCAGTTGTTTTTCCCCTTTCCCATATCGGCTGATTAAACTCTCTTTCAGCCATTCCCACTTTATTTTCTCTCTCTCAGATCATTTACCCGAGATATTGCCCCAAAAGTTTTTCGCGACCGATTTGTTCAACTCACAAAATTGATTCAAGATTGAAATTTTGATGTTTATTGATAAGATCTACGAGTTCCACGAGTTTTCATTGTTAGATTTGAGTTAGATTTGTTTTCTATTTGATACTGTTATGGATTTGAGTGATACTGTTATGGATCGATTAACAAATTGAACACAACTTCAAGTTTTAGATGTACTCCTTTTTTTTGGTTCTTGAACTCTTTGAATTTTCATTTTCATTTTCATTTTCATTTTCATTTCCATTTTCATTTCCATTTTCAGCTTATATCATGGGCCCAAAACCGCCACATTTGAGTCCAGCTGGGTCGAGTTTCTCCGTGAATCGGGAATATTCCCATTTGAATGGAGATGGGGAAAAGAAAAAGTACTTACCTGATGAAGTACTTGATATGATTGGTGAGTTAAGACATTCGCAACAAAGCCATTCATTCACTTGCAGCCATTTCAAATCATTGCGAATAATTGTTAATGGGAAATTATGTTAAACTAAAAGCTTTTATTGAGTTGGTGAATTGAAAACTGCCGGCTATTGTCATATGTGACAGTTTGAGCACTTTCTTCAAAAGAAACCCATTTTGGTGTCAATAGAAAAGTTGTAGAGAATCAAAAATCAAGCTTATATCCAAATTTTCAGAACGATTCAAAAACTGGTTTTCAAGAAATGCCAAATTTACGAATTTTCACAAAAGTTGCATTTTAAGCGAAACTACTAAGTGTATCTTTTTGGAAATTTGGCTCTAAACCTAATTTTTGTTCTCTACAACTTTTCTATTCACACCAAAATGGGTTTCTTTCGAAGAAAGTGCTCAAACTGGGACATCTCCTCCATTTTTGAGTCTCACACTTGTCTCACACACAAAGCAAAATCCTACTACGAAAGAGGAGTCCGCAAATTGCCTGTAAAATGGGCAGAAGTCGTCAATAATAATGGGAATTATTTGGAATGAATTTATGGTTTTATGTTGAATAAATTTTAGTTCAAAGTCCGGCAGTTTTCAATTCACCAACCCAATAGTTTCAATATCTAACAAGGGAATGGCCAGAAGTGAATGTGATCGTCTGGGATGAATCTTCTCAAATGTTTGGGATGGATCTTTCCAAACGTTTGGGATGGATCTTCTCAAACGTTTGGGTTGGATCATCTCAAACGGTTACAAACGACTTTCGGGTCGAGTTCTTTCATTCGATAGATCTCATTAAGAGATTAAGAGAATATTGAGTTTGGAAAAGGCTATGGTATTGCTTTTTGTGTGCCACTAGTCCTCGAGGTTACAAGTCATGATCAACCAAACCAGGCAGACCAAAAACCATCATTCAACTATGTCCTAACCTAGTCTAAACCAATCACCATAACTTCTTTCATTAAACATTTCCAGGTGCACGAAACAAAACCCTTTTGGTGGGAATGTGTTCAGCTTCATTCATTTGGGTGCTCGGCGCAATGCCGTTGATGGCCTCGGGTTTCACTTCTGATACAAATAATGCAACGATGAGAACCGTGATTGATGATGTGAGGGGGGAAATCTTTATTTTAAGAGAATCCAAATTTTCAGTTTAATCTAACTGGAGAGAACTCGTATCTGGCTGAGATTCCAACGTCGGCATATATGGCAGGAAATATGGCTGGTGGAACTTTCCTGGCTCAGGCGTCGGACAGGTAAATGAGGGGGGAAGGGTTTAGTACTAGAATCTGAGTACTAGAATCTGAGTACTAGAATACTGTAGTAGTAATGTCGTAATGTATATACGGTTATACGGTAGGTAAATGGGAGGAATGGCTTGATGAAATGCCTGGATAGTGAAGTGAAAGACATTCTAAGCGATGCCGATCTTTTGCCATTCAACCCTAAACAATTCTAGATTCGGTCGTCGTCCCGTTCTCCTACTCGCTCTTTCCATGTTCTCTCTATCCGGCATTCTTGCTTCATTTTCCCCATCGATTCTCATTTACAGCTTGCTCCGAGCGTGTCAAGGATGCTTTTATACAGTAAATAGTACAAAACATATATCAAAGTCAATTTTTAGGGTTCTTGCGTGACCGGTTGGGTTGCCGGTTATGAGATGTCACCGCCAAAGATGCGTCCATTAGCCACGCTGCTTTTTGGGATGGCTTGGGTGAGTGTGATCTCAGATTTAGTTCAAAAGTATATACAGGGTGCGCCAAAAGTTCCCGTACTTGTATTTTCTGTATTTTTGGTGATGTTAGATAAAAGATACGATTTTAAAAGTAAGAAATTCGAAAAACTGATTTAGAAAACGTTTCTGGTTAATTTATAAGTGCAACGCTATTTAAGACAAGTGATTGAGAAGAGAGTCCGCTCAGGGGCGCTTTGGTCGCACAGTTACAGGGCACAGTTACAGGGCACAGTTACAGGGCACAGTTACAGGGCACAGTTACAGGGCACAGTTACAGGGCACAGTTACAGGGCACAGTTACAGGGCACAGTTACAGGGCACAGTTACAGGGCACAGTTACAGGGCACAGTTACAGGGCACAGTTACAGGGCACAGTTACAGGGCACAGTTACAGGGCACAGTTACAGGGCACAGTTACAGGGCACAGTTACAGGGCACAGTTACAGGGCACAGTTACAGGGCACAGTTACAGGGCACAGTTACAGGGCACAAGGGAACTCTTTCATTGAATATCTTTAGTTATTGGGCTATTCTGCTGTGGCCCCTTTGGCCTACAATGCCGACTCGTGGAGACAACTCGTTTTTTACACGGCTCTCCCATCATTACCCTTTGCTTTATGGATATATTTGTAAGTATAAATACAAGACTTTTACGTCTAATATATATTTAGCTTTTTACCGGAAACTCTGCACTTTTTGGTGAGCAAACGGAAAACGAAAGAGATGGGAGTCTGGCTTGAAAAAGTTAGCTCAAAGATCACTCAAAGAAAACTCAGAAAATTTTGATTTTTAGATTTGCGGTGATCAAAAGTCGCCCGTTTCTTCAGAACAAATTCTATTACTTCAGGAAAACTCTGAGAAAAAGTTCATTTTTAATGAAATTATCTTCGAGTCAAATGGTTTAGGGTGAACGTTTTTCGAGAGATTTGTGGAAATAGGACTTTTTTGATCTATACGATAGCGATGATGTATTTGTGGTGAGGGGGAATTTCAAGAAAACAAGAAATTCAATTCAAATTAGTCGAAAAGAATTTACGTTTCTCGTTAATTTATAAGTGCGACACTATTTAAGACAAGTGATTGAGAAGAGGGGCGCTTTGGTCGCTCAGGGGCGCTCAGGGGCGCTCAGGGGCGCTTTGGTCGCACATTTTTTTGGGGCTTCAGGCCTGTAACTTTTATGGATCAAAAGATTTTCAAGAGCCAAGATGTTTTTCGAAAACTAGACATAAAATGTGACATTTTTATATTGGGTGTATAAAGTTTTGGTCAACGACCGAGTCGGAAGTCAGGTTAGAACTTGGTTTTCCCATATAAATTTTCATCAAAGGAAATAACTGTAACTGTGCGCTGTAACTGTGCGCTGTAACTGTGCGCTGTAACTGTGCGCTGTAACTGTGCGCTGTAACTGTGCGCTGTAACTGTGCGCTGTAACTGTGCCCGGTAACTGTGCGCTGTAACTGTGCCCGGTAACTGTGCCCGGTAACTGTGCGCTGTAACTGTGCCCGGTAACTGTGCCCGGTAACTGTGCGCTGTAACTGTGCCCGGTAACTGTGCGCTGTAACTGTGCGCTGTAACTGTGCCCGGTAACTGTGCGCTGTAACTGTGCCCGGTAACTGTGCCCGGTAACTGTGCGCTGTAACTGTGCCCGGTAACTGTGCGCTGTAACTGTGCCCGGTAACTGTGCGCTGTAACTGTGCGCTGTAACTGTGCCCGGTAACTGTGCCCGGTAACTGTGCGCTGTAACTGTGCCCGGTAACTGTGCCCGGTAACTGTGCCCGGTAACTGTGCCCGGTAACTGTGCCCGGTAACTGTGCCCGGTAACTGTGCGCTGTAACTTGCCCGGTAACTGTGCGCTGTAACTGTGCCCGGTAACTGTGCGCTGTAACTGTGCCCGGTAACTGTGCGCTGTAACTGTGCCCGGTAACTGTGCGCTGTAACTGTGCCCGGTAACTGTGCGCTGTAACTGTGCGCTGTAACTGTGCCCGGTAACTGTGCGCTGTAACTGTGCCCGGTAACTGTGCCCGGTAACTGTGCGCTGTAACTGTGCCCGGTAACTGTGCGCTGTAACTGTGCCCGGTAACTGTGCGCTGTAACTGTGCGCTGTAACTGTGCCCGGTAACTGTGCCCGGTAACTGTGCGCTGTAACTGTGCCCGGTAACTGTGCCCGGTAACTGTGCGCTGTAACTGTGCCCGGTAACTGTGCGCTGTAACTGTGCCCGGTAACTGTGCGCTGTAACTGTGCCCGGTAACTGTGCGCTGTAACTGTGCCCGGTAACTGTGCGCTGTAACTGTGCCCGGTAACTGTGCGCTGTAACTGTGCCCGGTAACTGTGCCCGGTAACTGTGCGCTGTAACTGTGCCCGGCAACTGTGCCCGGTAACTGTGCCCGGTAACTGTGCGCTGTAACTGATTTGTGGAAATAGGACTTTTTTGATCTATACGATAGCGATGATGTATTTATGGTGAGGGAGCATTTTAAGAAAACAAGAAATTCAATTCAAATTAGTCGAAAAAGAATTTAGGATTTGTGACACGTTCACCTATTTCGGCCTTTCTTTGTACAGTACGGAGTTGTCCGGGAACAAATGGGTCAACTATTTGCTGATGGGTTTAGTCGAATTACCCGCCTACATCTTCACGCCGATGCTCATCGATAAGTGAGTACAATCAAAAAGATATTCCGCCAAATGTTCGTTTATATAAAATTTTTTTGATTTTAAAAGAGTTATTGATTGTTTTTTCTAGCGAGTAATGCGTAATTTAAATTTAAAATTTAAAAGTAATTTAAAACGCACACTTCAGAAAAATTACCGTACTTTTAGGGAAAATTACTGCAAAAAAATTGGGAGTGGAAGAAATGCTACCTTTTTTTTGGCGCACCGGGAACATTTGCGCATCTTTTTTTTGCGCACCTTTTCGCCCATTATAACAAGGACTGCCCTAGACCCATAGAATCACTTTTTTTTTTCTGCTATTCGTCTATAGCTTTCATTTCTTGATGATATTTGTTGCTTATTGCTTTCCTGTCTTCTTGGTGCTTGATGGGCTGGAGTCTCCGTGGGCTAGAGACAAGTGCGCTTGCACTGCGCCATCTACTAGAGCATGACCGAGTGGTTAACGAGAGCCTCTTTCAAACGAACGGCAGAGAGAGATCGCGGGTTCGCCTCCTCTCGCCGCCAATTCTTTTGCTTTTTGTTGCGGAGTAGCAGCGAAGCTTCGGGTGAAGTAAGAATTGAGTGAAATGTAAACATGAGAAAACATGTAAAACAGTCGCGCCAGTCCCTTAAAACCGCACGTCAATGGGAATCTAACTAAACGATTCTGTTTTTTTTATTTTGATACTTAAGCACGCATTGTGGCATAAACCAGTGTCGAGAAAAACGCGTTCAAAGCTAGGCTACACGATGCTCCGTCTGTTGATATCGAAAAATAGCCCTGAATTTCAGCTATTTTTTGCTCCTTAAGCGCACATTGTAGCATAAACCAGTGTCGAGAAAAACGCGTTCAAAGCTAGACTACGCAACACTTCGCACTGTGATTATGGGAATGGGGTACAGTATTTACGGTACTTACTCGCAAGGAACACAGTTGGTAACTCTAGTTGGTAACTCCCTATCATTTAGATTAAGAACTTTAAATTAAAGTTGATCATATGAAGATAAGTTTCAACCAGTTTGCACAGGATTTTTAGATTTGAATAAACTAATTGAAAATTTGAAATTTCAGAATATAATTGGCAAGGATTTTAGCTGATTTAGCCAATTTAGTTCCTCAAGAAAGCCATAAGATTTCAGATTTGGTCGTCGTTCGATCGTTGCAGGCAGTCATTTTGTGGCCGGTCTTGCTTTCATGAGTCTTTTAATATCTCCTGGTTTGTTTTAATCGGCTAGAAATGATCATAAGTGATCCATTTACCAATATAACAATATTTTTCAGCAGAAGTCCTTCTCCCGATTTGGTTAATAGGCAAATCGGCGATCACCCTCTCGTTTATGGCGCTTTTCGTGTACGCGAGTGAGGTGAAGCTTTTAAAAAATGACAATTATATAATAAAATGATAGATTGGCAACTTGAAAGTTGGTACACTTACCGTATTTTCTCTAATAGTAGTGCACCCCGGCAGGCCGAGTTGGTGACTATCTTACGGCTTCCAAGCTTTTGCAGAAGCTCAACACTTTAATCCCCCACTAGATCTCATCGTCGGCTACATTTTCCGGCCACACATCAATAGGTTCTGATAAGCGGTTCTCGAGATTTCGAGGAATTTAGGCGACGCTTTGGGTGCACTACTATTAAAGAAAATACGGTATTCGTTGGCAAATCAAAATCGAATCTCAAAATGAAACCTTGTTGAAGAAATTCCGAACATACAACGAGCCGGCAGCGTAGGCCATTCTGAAATTTGGGTTTACCTTAAATTTCAACTCATTTAAAGCACCGACACTATTGAAAGCCTATTAATAGACAGATCTAATATTCAAATTCAAAACGATCAAAAACGAATTATCGTATTTTCTCTAATAGTAGTGCACCCCGGCAAGCCGAGTTGGTGACTATTTGACGGTTTCCAAGCTTTTGCAGAAGCTCAACACTCTAATCCCCCACTAGATCTCATCGTCGGCTTTTTTCGATTCCACATTGATAGACTCTGACAAGCGGTTTATAAGATTTCAAGGAACTTAGGGGAAGTCCAGGTTAGAGAAAATCCCGTAATCTATTAATATTAATGAATACCGTATTCTCTCTAATAGTAGTGCAACCCGGCAGGCCGAGTTGGTGACTATCTTATGGTTTCCAAGCTTTTGCAGAAGCTCAACACTTTAATCCCCCACTAGATCTCATCGTCAGCTACATTTTCCAACCGCACATCGATAGGTCCTGATAAGCGGTTCTCGAGATTTCGAGCAATTTAGGCGACGCTCAGGGGTGCACCCTATTTACTATTAGAGAAAATACGGTATTCGTTGGAGTTTTTAGAAATAACTATTACCCCAATTAATCTACAGTTTTCACTAATAAAAAGGCTCATTTATTCTCTAAACATCTTTTAACAGATTTAGAAAAGTTTCGGCTTTGTAGTTTTCTAGGGGGCAAGAAGTTGAGGAACCAAAAATGATGAACACTCGATGAAGCGATTTGAGCGTTGAGCACTTTCTTCCACATAAACCTATTTTGATGTTCATAGAAAAAAGATAGAGCATGAAAAGTTAGGCATATAGCCGAATTCTTAGCTTGATTTTCCAATTTTTAAAATTATATGTCTGTTTGAGGAATTTTCAGAAAAAAAAAACTTGAATTTCTGCTCAAATTCATTAGAAAAGTTGCCCAAATTTGCTTAAGCTTGTCTTAAATTTGCTGTCTTTGCTTAAGCTTGTCTTAAATTCGATAATATGTAACTTTTAATCTACCATTAATTAATTCAATTGGCAATTGGTAATTCAAATTGAGAGAAATCTAATTCAATTGGCATATATGTTTTATGGGACGAATACGAAAAAGTTTCTCAACTTTCAAGTTGTCAATCTAATATCAAATATCTATTCAAGTAACTATTTATTTGTTTTAAAATGAATTCCAGGTTTTCCCAACCGATATCCGAAACGCATCAGTCGGAATGTGCGTTGTTGTGGCTCGTATTGGTGGCATTGCGGCTCCGCAGATTAAAAATATGGTTTGTCAGTTTGATTTCATAAATTTTAAGCAAAAGATTAATAAAAAATAACCTTAAATGACAAGTCAGCTTGAAAATTTCAAATGTTTTCGAATATCTACTAGATATAAAAGAGCTGTGTCTGTCTATCTGTGCGCATTACTCCTCCACATATCTACTATATAAAAATGGACTAAGACATCTGTCTGTTTGTCTGTCTGTCTGTGCGCACTACTCTTCCACATCCAGTGGGCTGTTTCAAATGCCTTATAGCTAGTTGGCTTAGAATTTCATGTAGTTATGCAATAGGTTTTGAAATTTTTAAAAAACCAAAAATGCCGACGTGCAGGAGTCGAACCCGGGTCTTGTGGGCTAGAGACAAGTGCGCTTGCACTGCGCCAGTGCATGGTCGACTCGTTAACGCGCTCGTCTCTCAAGCGAACACGGAAGAGAGAGGTCGCGGGTTCGACTCCTCTTGCCGCCAATTCTTTTCATTTTTGCTCCCAAAAAGGAAAAGAAAGAAAGGAATGCTTTTTTTGCTGCTAGTTAAGTCTGTGACTTAAATAACTTTAGATAACAGTGATAACTCATAGGATTTCAAAGCTGAAAGTGTGATTGTTGATGCAAATTTCATAATAAACTCAGCGATTAGTTGAATTTCGAAAAAAAATTTCAATTCAACCTTATTTCTTTAGGCATTGGTCTTCTCAAAGATGCCTGAAGTAGTGCTATCAACGGTTTGTTTATTGGGCGGTTTGGCCACTCTTCTTCTCCCCGAAACAGCAAATCGACCATTGCCAGCATCGATAAAAGAGACAACCGAGAAGCAGCCACTTGCTTGAGATTTCATTGCTTTAGAGTCACTCTTCTAATTGTTTAGAATCAAAATACAATGTAGAAATGAAGGCTACAAACTACAAGCCTAGACTATACTTTGAAGGAACTTTAAAGGAACCAAATAAGAACTATAAAGGAACTATAAAGGAACTATAAAGGAACTATAAAGGAACTATAAAGGAACTTTAAAGGAACCAAATAGGAACTATAAAGGAACTTTGAAGGAACTACAAGCCTTGTAGAAACGCGAAGAATAGTTGATGATTTTTGAAAACTGAAAACTGATTTTTGAAAACATTTTCATCAAAAAATTGGGTCAACTTTAGACTTTCGAATGTTCAAATAACTAAAACCAAGTAAATTCATCATTTTTACACCGAGAACAAGCCATTTATGTTTGTAGTTTGTAGTCTGGGATAGGACTACAAATTTTAATCTGAAGAAAAAACATTATATCTCAGCGTCTAGAACATGTTTTGGCTTGATTTTGGTGTCATTCGAAAGCCTAAAGTTGGCCCAATTTTCTCTTTTAAAAATGTTTACAAAAATATCTATTCTGCGTGCTTCTACACGGGGTCTATAGTTTGGTCTTGTAGTTTTTAGCACTCATGTCTAAGACAAAGCAATAGAGCTGTTTCGGGTCAACCGAAAGGAATGCCCAAAACTCAAAGACTAAATTTTTTGCGTTTACGTATCATTCAGCAAAAAATAAAGCGCATATTGGGATTTAGCGTAAAATTTGAGAATGATTTAAAGTCTCATTCGAGGGTTTTGGTCACCCCAGAGGGTTCGGCGTTTTTTCGTCGATTTCGATTTGACCCGGAAAATCAGCTCTACAAAAAGAAAGTCTGAGATTAAGTCCACCGTAAATACTGTATACCGTAAATACTATTTACGTACGTAAATACGTAAATAGTACCCCAACCCCCTCGTACAGTCGCGTAGTCGCAAAGTTTTTTAGTATTTCATTTTTTCAAAGCACCCGTACTTTCAAAAAATACGTCTTTGGTATCAAAAAATAGCTGAAATTCAGGGCTATTTTTTGCTCCTTAAGCGCGCATTGTAGCATAAACCAGTGTCGAGAAACACTCGTTTAAAGCTAGACTACGCGATGCTCTGTCTTTTGATATCGAAAAATAGCCCTAAATTTCAGCTATTTTTTGCTCCTTAAGCGCACATTCTAGCATAAACCAGTGTCGAGAAAAACGCGTTCAAAGCTAGACTACGCAAAACTCCGCATCGTCATTATGGGGGTGGGGTCCAATTACAGTATTTACGGTATGTTATCATTTCATTTCATTTCCAAGTTTTTTTTTTGTGTGCTTTATAGATTTCATAAAAATATTCACAAAGCTTGCCTTAACCTTATCGAAACTCTAAATACTTTTAGATTATATTTTATTTAAATCGATTGTGAAACTTGTCCTCTTTTTCTCGTCCTTTTCCTTGTCCTTTTCCTTGTCCTTTTCTTTTCCTTTTATTTTCCTTGTCCTTTTCTCAAACTATTTTATCACAAATTTGCTAAAAAACCATTTAAAAATGACTGACTAAATCCTTGAAATCCAATTTCTGTTGTTACCAGGCTTGTAAGCGGAAAAAAAAGAGGATCATTGCAAAGAGGATCAGAATATGATTTCATTTTCAAAGCAAAACTCAACAAAAGGGGCAGCTACGCACAGAAAAACAGTTATGCACAGAAAAAAACGTAGCTGCTCCATTTGTTGACTTTTTCTTTGAAAATTATATTAAATTTTCCGCTTGCAAACCTGGCTGTTAACTAATTCCTTTCCAAACGGGTCTACCATTTCTTGCACAAGCATAATTTGTGTTTTTTATTTCACTTTTCCTATAAACTTGTTAACTTTTGTAAATGAAAAAAAAAGACACAAAAGATTTTTTTAGAATTTGAAATGAGTTTTGAGGGAAGAGATTCACTCGAGCGTAAACTAGGCGGTGAAAAGAGGAGAGATTTTCGGCACCTTTTTCCCTTTTTCCCTTTTTCCTGCATCATAAATTTTTTTACTACACACTTCCAAGTGAGACTTTCGTTTCCGTGTTTTTTTTTTCGCCAGAAATGTTATCATTTAGTTACTTGTATATTGTAGTTAATCCTTGTCAGGCATGACCAGTGACTTGGTGACTGATTTTGACCAATCCCTGGGCTTATCTTACCTACAAAGCTCTGACTATTAGGCTCCGTTGAAATATCCTTGAGCGCCGCGGTGGCGCAACGCTAGTGTGGCTGTCTCTGGAATTAGAGACACTCTGGTTTAGTCCCGCGCCCCGTGGATCGGTTCATGGCTCAGGTCCTCGAGGCCCAGATCCTCGAGGCCCAGTTCCTTAAGTCCCAAGTCTATCCAACCGTCTTCGCCTTCTCTTCACCGCCAGAACAAGCTATCTAGGGATCGTCAAATAAGAGGAGGGATTAGGGAGCCGCCGAGAATGTAGGTTAACATATAGCCTGTTGGTTAAGATATAACCTAGTAGTGTGCATCGAATTGTGATTATGCCGAATAATAGTCCCGAATCATATCTTTAATCTACTAAAAATTAACTACAAACTATGTATTTCTTGAAAGACTTACAAACTCTTTTCGAATTCTCACATCATCGCATTCGGCTATTCGGCTATTCGGCTATGCGCGTTCGGCTTCGGCATTCGTAAATTTTCGAGAATAACTCTTGATAACTTTAATTGATTTGAATATACCGTATTTTCTCTAATAGTAGTGCACCCCGGCGAGTCGAGTTGGTCGACTATTTTACGGTTTCCAAGCTTTTGCAGAAGCTCAACACTCAAATCCTCCAGCTAGATCTCATCGTCAGCTACATTTTCCAACCGCACATCGATAGGTCCTGATAAGCGCTTCTCGAGATTTCGAGGAATTTAGGACGACGCTCAGGGTGCACTACTATTAGAGAAAATACGGTAGTTTAAAATTAAAACAAATTAATATTCAAAGATTTTGACTATAAATCTATAAGCCATTATTGTAGCTTTAATACTTTTTCTTAAAACTTTTCTTTTTTTCCTTAGTGAGTCAATTTTTCATGCATCAATTGAAAGCGTGGGTTTCTTTGGCTCTTTTCGATCCCATAAATGGGTTCTTTAAATAGTTTTTTTCTAAGCTCTTGTTCAACAGAAGCTTTCAATTTACACTTTACAAGTTTTTGAATTCATTTCACTAATAAACAGAGAGACAGTTTGAACAGTTTTAGCTCAAGAAACTCCTCAAGAAAGTACTTTGTGCTCTCGCAAATTCACACTCTCTGGCATACTTGCTTGCTTTCACTTGATTTCAAATGATCTAGACACGAATTTGGTCATGTTTGCTTCATGTTTAATGTTTGACTTTCTCCGATTAACCTGTACTCAATCAGATCAACTGACCACAAGCATTAAGAAGGGATTCAATCGCAGAACTGACATAGAAGTGGACTGACTGACTGACGGACTGACTGACTGACTGACTCAAGGGTCCTCCACATATTAGTCTGGCTCTGGGAAGGGTGGAAGAATGAAGAAGGGGGCTATGTTTGTCTCGCCCACAGATTTTCCCCCTTTTTCTTCACTCTCCAACACTTACCCCTCTTTCATTCTAGGTGATCAAGAATATTTTTGCAAGCTTGGGGACAATTTCTCAATCCTTTCTATTGAACTCTTCTTATTTCTGATACCTCTTTTATCCCAGATTATCACGGAATGTTCTCAACTCAGTTTAGATCCATCTTATAGAGTTTATCTTGTGCCTCGTTAGCCTAGTAGATAGTGTGCTAGTGCTTCGAGACTTTTTGCTCCTGATTAGTCTAGTAGATAGTGCGCTAGTGCTTCTTTTTGTTCCTGGTTCGAATCCTCCGAAAGCCATTCATGGGCACATGGATGGGTGAAAGTTTCGGAAATCGGAATTAACAAGTCAAACTCTAAAGGTCACTCGTGAGTCGGTTTGGTTTCAAACTTTGTACCATTATTGTACCATTTGTTACTGTAACAGTTATTATTTTTAGCTTTAACAAAGCTGATCTACGATCCAATCTAGCCCTTTCAAATCCCATCCCAAAATGACCACTCCTCCCCCACGAAAAAAAAACAACTTGAACTCTTGGCGTAAATGAGCTCAACCCGATCTACCGCCATCAATCACAAAGGGTTTTTGAGTGGGAAAATGGAAAGAGTGAGAGGGAAAAGGATTCATTTCAAAGTCTCGGGATGTCCGAGAAAGGAGATGAAAAGAGAATGAGAGCATTCTCTTTTCATGTAGCTTCCAAGAGACATCTATCCCGGAGTTTTAGCATGACCTTCACACATTCCGAGTCTCTTTCTTGTTCTCACACTTTTCATTTCTTTTTTTATGTGTAATGAGGACCTTTTTTTTACTCAATGAATTGTCTTTAACTGTTGATTTTTAAAAAATTACTGTATACTTTGTGCGATTTTATTTTTCGTTGATTTTTTTGGTTCTTGGTGGTTTCTTTGCATGGAAATTTGCATTTTAAACGTAAGTTAACCGGAAAAAAACTCGATTAAACTCTCAGTCATCAGTCAAACACATAAGTCAATCAGGCATCAGTCATCAGTCATCAGTCATAAGTCAAACCAGTCATCATCAAAGTACCTTTTTCTATTCTTTTTATCTGTTAGCCCAAGTATTTAAACATTCCGTTTTAACTCCTGTATCTTGATGGTTGCCGCTTTCAAATAGATACTCTTTGTCGTCTAATTGAAGAAAAGATAGCTCAATTTACACTGAATTCTGTTCACGATAATGTTCTCAAATAAACTACGATTTTATGAGAAAATAAGCTGAAAATAATTGCTTATAAGCAACTAGTAATGGAAATGGTTCAAGGTCAGAAAGGAGGCCAAATAAAGAGATGCAAAAAAAGAGCATTGTCCATTTCTTTATCTATCGAGAAACAAGGGTGGAGAGTGAATGGCAATACAATGGATGTTTGTGGAGAGAAAGGGGAAGAGAAGAGAACGGCCAGAATGGGTTGACCTGGT